TTAGCCCGCGACCTGCTAATACATATATATTTTGTATATATATTTAGTATTTAATACATGTTATTTTGGTTTGTGTAATTGTGTTAGTGTGTTATAACTTATAGGATTATAGATTGTGTAATTGTGTTAGTATGTTATATATATATAGCATTAAATGCTATATAAATTCAATATTTATTTTTAATTGTTAATAATTTAACTAGTTTAGTTGATTGAACTCTAAATTTGATGCTTGAAAAGCATATGGTTTCAGATTTAAATCTCATTAATAGCACTTTTCCTTATCTACTCTTGCTTATTATTTTATCTCTTTCATCCCTTTACATATAAATTTAATAATTTTTTAGTCTACTTTTTATGAATCATTTAATTAATGTAATATACAAGTTTATATTATACTTAATTGTATTCGAATTAATTTAGAAAAATTTAAAGATTAAAATTAAAAAGTATTTATGAATATAATTTTATTCAAATTATTTTGTCTAATTGATTATGTTTCATATTTTGTCATAAATATTTTCACCCTATTTTTTGCTTCAACCCTAACTATCATTTAATCTATCAAAAGCATCCTATTGTCATTGACATTTCTAACTTCATTTAAACTTCGTCATCACTTAGATAATTTTCTGAATCCGTCCATGCTAGTAATCATAAGCCACCTGAATCTCTGTCCAAGATTAGAGCAGTTGTATGAGAAAAATTGCGAGTCACCTTATCAGTTCTCAAATTATCATCCTTGTCTGTGCTCTCTGGGCAAATGAATTTTTCATCGTTTCTAATTGGTCAGTCAAGGTCTCTGAATGATGCCCAGAGATCAGGTTATGGCATGCAGTGATCATATCGCACGTCTGCAGCGGGGTGTTAGACTTTTAGAACCAAACATGCAGGAACAACTGGCCATTATTTTAAAACTTTACGTTCCGTAATGTACACCATGTACGACAGCGATCCCACTCCCCATCTAAATCTGATAAAATTTATTTGACCATGACTAGGTTTGATGGTTGGTTATGGTTAATTTAGTATGTTGGTCGTGGCTGTTCGATCGATCAACTGCTCCTTTTTATAATTTTTTTTTTAAATTTGTTTAACCGCATTGAATCTTTCCAATAGTGTTACGTGATGTTTTGTTTTTTGGGGTCCGGAGAAAATGATGTTCGAGCCGAATGTTATGTGAAAGTTGAATTAATCATTTATATTTATTTATTTTGATACATAGATTTCTCAATTTGTTCCAGATTAATTAATGAGTTAATTCCACCCGAGGTCCCTTGTGTTTAGTGGTAATTCCAAATTTAGTACCAAACTATCGTTTTTGCCATTTAACATCCCAGACTATTTGTTTTTGGATACTTTTAGTCCTTCTTATGACTTTTCATATTTTAGTAAGGGCATTTTTGCCTTTTCCATATTTTTCCTTTTGTTATTTTTCGGGTTTCAACCGGTTTAATCGGTTTAGAACTTTAGGTAACCTCTGCTTTTTAGTAACTATATTTTTCAACCGGTTTTTAGTTAAGTTCTAAACCAAATAAATCAATTGAAACTGGAAAAATAACAAATGAAAAATATAAAGAGACAAAAATGCTCTTACTAAAAATAGAAAAAAAAATCATGAGAAGGACTATAAATGTCTAAAAACTAATAATCTGTAACTAAATTTGAAATTGCCACCAACGACAAGGGACCTTTGGTGGAATTAACCTTTAATTAATCTAGCATTCACCTCCCCGCCCCTAGAGTCACGGGAGGAGTCAGTACTAGTAACCTTTCGACCAGTAAGTCTCCCGCCTTACTGCGTATTATTAGAGTCCAACCGACGCCCTACTCCAACTTCATTCGAAAGCCCAACTCTATAAACTAGGAAGTGCAACTCCAATAATGTTTAAAGTGGAGTTTGAAATCTCACCTTACCTCGCCCGCCATGATTCGAGGTTAGGTGATCAATCACTTGTACTAGCCTGGAGCTGATGAATTAACCATTTGTTAAGCTGCATGCATGATGCAGCACTGCAGCAGCCAGCAAATTCAATTCGATCAAATGACAATAATGTACTTCTTTGGTACGGTTAAACTGTCAGTAGTATGCTTCCATCATGAAAATCTGAAAACGCCATCTTAGCTTATCTCTCATATTTTTACTCTGCACTAAACAGGAAGTGGGCAGATCATGCATAATATACAGTAGCTAAGCAGCCAGCTGGTGAAGTATGCACACATTTTTTATATTGAGTAATATTACATGTATTTCAATATTTTATTTTATATTTTACTTTTTTGTTTTTACGGATAAGACATGTTTTGTTTTGTTAAAAAAAAAAAAGGAGTGAGTTATAAGTTTTATTATTTATTTTTCTTCCTCCAATATAATGAAATACACCAAAAATATGTGATATATTAGAAGCATGAAGCGTCATTACGTGCATATAATTAGTATACATTTGACCTTTTGAACTATACAGTATAATCACGTAGGATTAATACTATTTAGCACTAGACACCCGGCGTCTAGACTTATCAAATCTTTTGCAGGTAGGGATGGCAATGTGCCCCGTCCCCGACGGGGATCTCCGATCCCCGCTCCGACAAAGATGGGGATGGGGAAAATTTTCGGGGAACGGGGACGGGGACGGGGAATACGTGTGATTCCCCGCCGGGGACAGGGATACCCCTCCCCGCCCCGCCCCGTCCCCGAATAATTATATATATATATATATATATATATATATATATATATATATATGTACTGTACAGTGCTGTAATGAACTATATATATGTAGTATATGTACCATTAATGTTGTAATGAGCTATATATATAATTAATGTTGCCATTATAGTATATAGTATATATAAGTGACAGTAATGCTACAGTATACTATATATATATATATATATATATATATATATATATATATATATATATATATATTGTAGACTTGGTACTTTAATTTTTAAAATTAGAACTTAAATTATTATTATTATTTTTTTAAATTACAATTGTTTAACATTTTGACTAATAGTTGACGGGGAATGGGGAATCCCCGTCCCCGCCTAATTCCCCGTGGGGACGGGGATGGGGAATATTTTCAATTCCCCGCCGGGGACGGGGACGGGGACGGGGATGGGGACAGGGTTGCGGGGACGGGGACGGGGAGTATATACTCCCCGCCCCCGCCCCGCCCCATTGCCATCCCTATTTGCAGGTGAAGTATGCTGTATGCACTGTGCACATCTGTATGAAGTATAAATGTACAACAACAACAACGTACATCATATATAACGTACGTGACAATATTATCATGTAAGACTTTCCCGTATAATATATATTATATATTATGTGTCTTAATTATGTGGTGCAAGTGTATTAAGCCCATTAAGTAGTTTGGTTGGACTGGACAACTAGGTTTAGTCTCTATTCCACCATTATGCATATATAAAGCCTGTACTGATGGGATATAAGATATACATTATATAGCACCTAAAGTTATGGTACTCATACTGCTCAGAAAATACCAATACACCATCTAGGGTTCTGAATCAAGTATGAGACAAAACAACTAACACTCTGCATGTCTACCGTTCAAAAGGCAACACAACAAGATCCACCAACTATGGTTGGAGATCAACATTGCTTCCATTTCCGCTTCCGCTACAACGAGATTATACAATATTTAGATCTAATATATGATATCAGAGCCTTTATAATCTCTGCCTAGTTGATTGTATTGCCTAAAATCAACAACAATTTTTTCATATACATCAAGCGTTTGTATATGCTTTGGTTTCAATTACATTCATTCTAATTTTTTCGAAATTTGGCATGTATATTTTGAAAGAATTATTTGTAATTGATTTGGAGTGTTGGAATTATTTTTCCCAACTGCTTGATTTTCCCGGAGAATCATCGGATTGTGTTCACCGGTATCTGATTCCGGCTGCGGTTGACGACGAGGGGAGGCGACGGTAGTTGCATCCAGTGCCATTAGGCGCTGCGTGGGAGGGCGATGTTTCGTCAACGCCTTCCAGGCAACGACAAAAGGGATCCGAGGCTTTGCGGCGTAGGACGACGACGATGCTGGCGTTGCCACCAGGAGAGACAGTTGTGACGAGGCTGGGTTGCCTAATTTGAGCAATTAAGTGCTATAGTTATTGTCTTGGACCTATTTTTGACCCATTAAGGCTAAAATTATTATTTTGGCCATTAAGAATTATAACGAAGCGTAATGCTGTGTAACCGTCTGCACCATGCAAGGTGCACACGGAATTGGATCCATAATTTCTATACTATAGATTCATAAATTATATACTGTAGATTCATAATTTATATACTGTAGATTCATAATTTGTATACTATAGATTCATAATTTCTATACTATAGATTCATAATTTCTAAACTGTATAGTTATCAAATTATGAACATATAGTTCAGTGATTTGTGAATAAAGAGTTCAACAATTGGGAATATGAACATAGAATTTTGTAATTGTGAATATAGTGTTCAATAATTATGAATCTATAGTATAAAAATTATGAATCTATATTACAGAAATTATGGATCTATAGTATAGAAATTATGGATTCAATTCCGTGGGCACCATGCATATATGGTGCACACGGTTGCACAGCATAATTTGCCAATTATAACTATTGTTTAAGTTGATTATGTTTTTTTAATCCATCAATCGTTTTCAGGGCTTAATAATAATAGTAAGTCTTTTAAAATTATGGCAAAAAGCATTATAGTTGGTATATTGCCTTTGAAATGGTAATTTAGTTATAGTAGTTATTATTAATTGGCATTGTTAATTAGTGTTATTAAGATATGGACTAATCTCATTTATTACATTTCATAATAATTATTATTTCATGGCAATCTGTTATATTTCGTACATTGTTAAGATTATTACTTCATTTTATATGACTATTAAGGATGGTAATTAAGTCCTACCAATAAATTGTTACGTATCATTGGGCGCGGCATTGGCACAATAATGAGATGCACACCAAAAACAAAAAAGTTTAACATTAAACAGAATAACAATAGCACACATAGATAGACGACAGTGATAGCAATGGTGTCTGCCGCAGTAAGTAGCTACTATAATAGCACTTATATATGCAGCATCTTATTTAGGTATATAATATATATGCACCATGCCAAGATAGATATAGGATTTATATAGTTCTTCAGCATTTTTTGTAGCAATAGCATGTCCTTTTACAGTCTCCACGCTCAGCCCTTTCCCTGCTCCTGCACCAAGAATTGCACCTCGGCTTACTGCACTTTCCACTCCACCCTCTCGCCGGCTTTCCGCATAACTTGCCCTTGCCACCACCGCCGCCGCCGCCGCCGCCACCACCACCACCACCTCTCTGTGCTTCAGCAGTTTCCACACCTGCCATGGCATACGTAAAACAAAATATATATAAATACTTTTTACATAAGATAGAACGTACGGGACAAGCTAGAATTGATCTCAAGAGCTCTAATATATATAAAGCCTTATATATAGCAGGAAATAATGAAGAAAAAGAAGAAAGTGCAGGCGGATGAGAGAGGGCATATATAAAGTATACCCACCAAAGGATGCGATGAGAAGGAAGCAGAAGAAGAGAGCTATAAAGATTGACTTGCTAATCACGGATCCTCCTGCCATTTTTATTTGCTTTTTATATATCTATGCTTAGTTGGATGGGATATGATGTGCAAATCCAAGTGAATGGGAAGCAGCTATTTATAGTGCAAAATCATGAACATGACGAGGGTTAAGATTGATTATATATAAATATGAATTTGTTTTCTTATCTCTTAAATTAATCTGCAGCGCAGCGAGCTGAGGGGTTAGACTTTTTGAACCAAGTTAAGCATGCAGGGGACAACGTAAATATCCACTATTTAAAATTTGAGTTTCCGTACATCCCCCGCCATGTACATCCGATCAAATTTGACCATCACTAGCTAGGTTACGTTGATGGTTGATTATGGTTAATTTAGTACGTTGGTCGTCACGGTTTAACTGTTCCTTATTATTATTATTATTATTGAAAAAATAAATTTTTTTGTTCTTAAATGTGGAAAAATTAATAGTCGGGGACCGAAAGTGAAAAAAAAAAAAAAAACTCATTGTTTTTTATTATCTGAAAATAGAGAATTGACAAATTTCTTCTCTAAAATTTTCCTCTTCAAATATGGAGTGTGGTACATTATCCATATTTTCTCTACATGTTAAAATCTTTTTTATTTTATTTTACAAATAAAATATCAAGACCAAAAAAATTACTAAAATACCCAAGTAATAAATAAAATTTTAATAGAATTTAATAATTTTATTATTTCATGGGTTAAAACTGTAACTTTTATTAAAAATAGAAGTATATGTTGGATCCGTTGGTAGAAAACAAATAATAATTAATTAAAATATGACTATTATTTTTTGGAAAGAAGGGAAGAAAAGATGAAGAAAATTGGCTAGTGTTTGGTGTTGGGTTTTTGCAAGAGTCAAGTGAGCACTCTTTCCTTAAAACCTTATTTGCCACCTCCCAAAGATGCTAGGAGCGTTGTGGCCTAGGCTTCGCAGGATAAAACTTGCTAGTGATTCAATGTTTGAGCACTCAAACAAGGAATCCGGCGAGCAAGACACGGTTATGAACACAGTAAGGCTTGAAGAAGGAGTAGAAGCAGAGAGGTTTTGAGGCTAAAAATGATGAACTTTCGTGTTCTATTTTTCTGTGTGTGAAAACTCTACTGCCCAACTCCTCCTTATATAGGGGTGTAGGATTTAAATAGCTCTTAATAGGACACTTTAAGGCACCCCCCACTACACCTGGTAACAGCAACCATTACCATGGGTTTCAATTCAAAATTTAAGATTGGATTTAATTCAAAGAATTAATTCCGTAACGGTAAGAATTGAACACCCAACGGTCACAGACTGCACAGGTTCGTGTAGGCCGAAACTCCCAGTTTCGACCGCCAGGCCGAAACTTCAAGTTTCGACCTTAGTGCCTTTTCTCGTCTTGGCCTCTTTAGGCCGAGAGCACAGTTTCGACAGTTTCGGCCACATCCAGTGGCATGTGTTGGAATTGAACACCCAACGGTCACAGACTGCACAGGTTCGTGTAGGTCGAAACTCCCAGTTTCGACCGCCAGGCCGAAACTTCAAGTTTCGGCCTTAGTGCCTTTTCTCGTCTCGGCCTCTTTAGGCCGAGAGCACAGTTTCGGCAGTTTCGGCCACATCCAGTGGCATGTGTTGGAAAAATAATTTCCGAAGTTTGGCATAACTTAGCCCGTAAGGCCAGCCAATTTCCGAACGACATTCGTGCCCGCAGGTGCCGGCGCACACGAGCTCGGGCTTGAATCAAGCCTTTTTCAATAGTATATATTGTAACGATAAAAAGTCATAGACTAAAACGGCTAGCAAAAAACAATTGAGTACTAAAAATATTTTGTTTTCCTATTATTATTTTTTTTAAACCACGTTGAATTGAATCATTCCAATAGTATTACGTGATTTTTTTTTATTTTTTTTTGGGTGGGAAAGTGATGTTCGAGCTGAGTATTACATATGGAAATTGAAAAATCATGCATGCATGTATACAGAAGACACATTAATCTCTGATCCGATCAAATGACAACAATGTTAATGTGTTTCTTTCGTTGAAGTGTCAGTATGCTTCTATCATAAAAATCGGATAACGCCATCTTATCGGAGTAATTCTAATTAATTAATTTATATAAAGCAGCTAATCAGCCGGCCAGCAGTGATGTATCACCCATTTATATATGCATGAAATAATACACCCCTTGGGAGAAGATGAAATAATACACCCGCATGAAGTAAAATAATTTATCTATGGGCAGCTCAACTGGTTATAGAGGTGAAGTTTGAAAAGAATGACCACGGATCGAGTCTCACCAGTCGCAGTGTGGGAGCAACCTCTCAAAGTGAGGAGAGCTCATTGTGCGCAGTAAGCAAAGGTTGGTAGTGTGGGAGCAAAACCTCTGTTTACCTCTGTGTGGTTCATGTTAAGTTGGCAGTGTGGGAGCAAAACCAACCTCTGAACCCCTCTGTGTGGTTACCTCTGAACCTCTGTGTGGTTCATGTTAAGTTTGCAGTGTGAGAACAACTTCTCAAAGTGAGGGGGGCTCATTGTGCGCAGTAAACAAAGGTCTAACCTCTGTGGTTCATGTTAAGTTGGCAGTGCGAGAGCAACCTCAACCTACCTCTGTGGTTCATGTTAAGTTGGCAGTGTGAGAGCAACCTAAACCAACCTTTGAACCTCTGTGTGGTTCATGTTAAGTTGGCAGTGTGAGAGCAACCTCAACCTACCTCTGTGGTTCATGTTAAGTTGGCAACCTCTGTGTGGTTCATGTTAAGTTGGCAGTGTGAGAGCAACCTCTCAAAGTGAGGGGGGTTGGCAGTGTGAGAGCAACCTCTCAAAGTGAGGGGGGCTCCTTGTGCACAGTAAGCAAATGTCTAACCTCTCTGAACCTTTGTGTGGTTCATGTTAAGTTGGCAGTGTGGGAGCAACCTCGCAAAGTGAGGGGGCCGAACCTCAGTGTGGTTCATGTTAAGTTGGCAGTGGGGCCGAACCTCTGTGTGGTTCATGTTAAGTTGGCAGTGTGGGAGCAACCTCTCAAAGTGAGGGGGGAGGGGGGGGGGGGGGGGCACCGGGGGCTCCTTGTGCGCAGTAAACAAAGGTCTAACCTCAGAACCTCTGTGTGGTTCATGTTAAGTTGAGGTACCATGATACTGCCGAGCCGAGGTGTGGAGGGGCCCTTAGGGTTGGGGTATCTGCCAAATTTTACTAGACCACGGTCCATGTAGCAACATGGAGCATGAAGTAAAACAATTTTGTATTATTTTAAAACCTAAATATAAATATATTAAAGAGTTTGAGAACGCAAGTACATAGGTTCATAAACACTTTACCCAAGAATCTCTAAGAGAAATTAACCATACATGACTACTATAGAATTCATTGCAATAAAATAAGAGTTTACAAGCTTATCAAAGAGAGTAAAAGTTAGACCAAGTGATTCTCCCAAATCTCCCTAGCTTTTCTTCTTTCTTCCCCAAGTAACTTGTAGCTCTTGATTCTCTTCTTTCTTGTCACCAAAACACAGCATAGGTCATCTAGGGTTGAGGAAAGCGGGTTTTTATAGCGGGAATCAAGCGAGGGGCAAAACAGTAAACTTTTCACCCAAAATTGGACCGGCCCATCCCGACCTCTCGACGCGTCGACTTCTCAGATGAGGCACTGTAACTTCTCGACGACGCGTCGAGACTTCTGGTCTTGAACAACCACCTTTCTGAAAAACTGGACACGTCGAGTTTGAAACTCGACGCATCGAAAACCCTATTTCAGCATTCTTCAGTCCATTTCGGCTCCAAACTCGTCCTGGAATTTTCCTTTTGCAATTGATCTACAATGGTTCCAAAACACTAACAAACACAGTAAAACATTCAAAACAAGTGTAAAACTATATATAAATGAGAAAACAATGGAATATACAATTAAAGTATCAATTCCATGAACTTAAACCCATCAAATATGTTCAAACTAACACGAGAAACTTGTACAATTAGACTCAAATCAATATACAGAAATCTCATATTGCTCTGCCAAAAATTTCATTGTTAAGTTGTGTAACTGAGAATTGAACTTTATAAAGATATATTCTCAAGTATTTACTCAGATAACACAGGAAAATATGACAACGATGAAATAAATCTTTCATCTCTCAAACTTTTATCAACTTTTCATCTCAAACCTTTCTGACTCTTCTCAGAACTTTTCCAGATAAATCATTTTCATATCACTTTCTGATTACTGAGACTCATCTCATGTTCTGTCCAAGAATTGATATATATATATATATATATATATATATATCCTTTCTGACTCTTCTCAGAACTTTTCCAGATAAATCATTTTCATATCACTTTCTGATTACTGAGACTCATCTCATGTTTTGTCCAAGAATTGATATACAAATTATATATATATATATATATATATATATATATATATATATATATATATATATTTATTTATTTATTTATTTATTTATTTATTTATTTATTTATTTATGTATTTATTTATTTATTTATTTACACACACACATTTATACCTTGATGCAAGCGTGTACGCATATCGGAACAAAGTATATAATTCCAAACATATACAAATTAAATAGAGTTAATACCCAAAATCGTCTTCGACTATAGTGGTTTTTCTAAATTTTATCCTGAACGACTTTGGTGACTTAATGTAGTCCCAGAGTTTTGTGTTTTTACTCAATTTCATCCCAGACTTTTGTGTTTTTGCTCAATTTAGTCATCCATTTGTTATTCCATCCATTTGTTGTTAAATAAATAGACAATTCAGTAATTTTAATATTGGCATCTCTTTATTCATAGACATGTGAAGTGCGAAATTCCTCTTTTTTTACGAATTACTCCCATAATCACTTCTAAAGCTGCGAATATAAAATTTGATTCGTAGGTCTGAGAGTAACTCTGGGTGTAATTCGTGTAAGAAAGAGAGATTTCTCACTTCGCAGGTTGAAAGTAAAGAGAGGTCAATATTGATATTATTGAATTGTCTCTTTATTTAACATCAATTTGACGGAATAACAAACGGAGGACTAAATTGAGCGAAACACAAAAGTCTGGGACTATATTAGATCACCAAATTCGTTTAGGACGAAATAGAGAAAAACCACTATAGTCGAGGACAATTTTGGGTATTAACTCAAATTAAATATGCATGCAACAAAACCCACGAACTTAGCCATAATAAATATTAATTCCCTGCGGCTTGCGTATAATCCGAACAGTAATTTACTAATATGGTTTTCGAATAGTCATTTACCAAGGGAAGTAAACTTTCTTCCGCATGGTTTAGCAAATCAACAACCACCTAATGGTCAATTTCGACTTTTCGGAGTAACTGCTCAGAAATTAACTATTCGGCTCCAAAACTTCAATTTCAACTTTCTGTAGAATTTGTATTTTTCATAAATTTCTACCAAACTTAAAATAATATTTACAACTCGATAACTCTAAAATATTATTTAAGTTTAGTAACGAAGTTCTCAAACACACATTTACTATACAAGGGACCTATACATACACTATATAAATGGGATGGGAGTGGGGGGAGTGGGGGCAGCTGCTCCCATTGTGGCTCCGCCAATATCAACAACTACCGAATTGTCAATTTTGACTTTTCGGAGTCAACTGCTCGGAAATTAACTTTTCGATCGGAATTGAGTACTCTTCAAATTCAACTTTTCGCGGATTTTGTATTTTCCAATTAACATTTTACCAAACTTAAAATAATATTTACAACTCCATAACTCTAAAATATTATTTAAGTTTAATAACATGTTTAAAGTTGTCAAACATACATTTATATATAAATATCCAACAGTTTTTGTGGTGGGAAAGTGATGTTCGAGCTGAGTATTACATGGAAGTTGAATAATGAGATGCACTACACCAAAAACACAAAAGTTTAATATTAAACAGAATGATAATTAGCGCACACATAGATAGATGATAGTGATAGCAATGGTGTCTAGCTGCCGCAGTAAGTGGCTACGATAATAGCATTTATATATATATATATATATATATATATATATGCAGCATCTTATTTAGGTATATAATATGTATATGCACCATGCTAAGATAGATAGAGTTTTTCAACATTTTCTGTAGCAATAGCAAGTGCCCCCTTTGCATTGTCCATGGTGAGCCCCCTGCTTCTTGCACCAAGAATTGCACATTAACATCGGCAAGCACCTTTTACAACACCCACTCGACGGCTTTATGCAGTACTTGACCTTGCCGCCGCCACCGCCACCACCACCTCCTTTCTGTGCTTCAGCAGTTTCCACACCTGCCATGGCACACGTAAAACAAAAATATATAAATATTTAAAGTGAGGGGTTCCTTGTGCGCAGTGAGCAAAGGTCTAGCCTCTATAGTTCATGTTCAGTTGAGTTACCATGATTTACATTTCCTAAATACTCTGTCGGGTCGGGGTGGGGGCCTTAGGGTTGGGGTTCAACCTTTTGGAAGAAGATATATAAATATTTTATACATAAGGAAATAATGAAGAAAGAGGGTTATCTGAGAGGGCATATAATAAGTATGAATTAATTAATTAAGTTAACTCACCAAAGGATGCGATGAGAAGGAAGCAGAAGAAGAGGGCTATTAAGATTGTTTTGCTAATCACGGATCCTCCTGCCATTTTTATTTGCTTTCTTTCTGCTTAGTTGGATGGGATGTTCAAATCCAAGTGAATGGGAGGCAGGTATTTATAGGGCAAAATCAAGAGCATGACGAGGGTTTAACGGTCCAGGTCCACCCAGTTCGCTCCGAGAGGCACAAAAGCTGGCTCAACTCAAAGGGAATCGTCACTTGTGAAAATTGAACCCAAGTTATCCTAGAATTCTTTCCCACAAAGAGAGCTCATTTGCCACTTGAGCTAGCCTGTTGGGTTTGTTCTGATTGATTATAAATATGAATTTGCTTTCTTATCTCTTAAATTAATTAATCTGCAGCGAGCTGAGGGGTTAGACTTTTTGAACCAATTAAGCATGCAGGGGACAACGTAAATATAATGTCCACTATTAATTTCAAAGTTGATGTTCACACACCATGCACATATATTCTACGACAACCATCCCCATGGCCATGTACATCCGATCAAATTTGACCATCACTAACTAGGTTACGTTGATGGTTGATTATGGTTAATTTATTACGTTTGTCGTCACAGTTTAACTGCTCATTATTATTATTATTATTATTGAAAAAAAATTGTTCTTAAATTGTTTCCTGCTAGACATGACATTAGTTGTTTTACTACCTAACTTTTTAACGTTATATTATATACCTTTAAATTTTCAAAAAAGTTACAGCTTTAACACAAAATTATTAAGTTCTATTAAAATTGTACTTAGAAATAGGTATTTAATTTAAAATTTTATTATATTATTATATTTATTCTTTATAATTTTTTTAAATTTTGGTATTAAATTTTTTCCACTTTTAGTCCCACGATTAATGGACCACTTTCACATTTAGTTCTTGACTATTACTTTTTTCACATTTGGTCCAACGATTTTTAAAACCTTGTCGCATTTGGTCTTCCGACCTAATTTCCAATTAACGATGTCCAAATTTGCATTTGTAAGTTATTGAACATGAGTGCATAATAGTCAAGTGACATGTGTTGAAGGTTAAAGTAGTCATATTCTATGACTTTTTTCAACTAATTAAAAAGTTTGATCACTGGTGAGCGCAAATAAAGTCGGAAGATCAAATGTAGCAATGTTTTAAAAAAAAAAAAAAAACAATGTTGAAAAAGTCATGAGACCAAATGTGAAAAAATTAATAGTCGGAGACCAAAAGTGAAAAAAACACGTAACTTTTTTGTATTTTATCTGAAATACAACCTTCTTCTCTAAATTTTTCTTCTTCAAGTGTGATACATGGTCCATATTTTTCTACACATACCACTTAAAATCAAATTTTTATTTTACAAATGAAATATCAAGACAAAAAAATAGATATAATTCAAGAAGAAATATTAAAAAGTACTAAAGTACCCATGTAATATGTAATATTTTAACAGAATTGAATAATTTTGTTATTTCATGGGTTAAAACGTACTATAACTTTTTTGAAAAGTTAGAGGTATATATTCTAATAATCAAAAGTTATGGACTAAAATGACTAGCAAAGAATAATCAAAGATTAAAAATATTTTTTCCTATTATTAATTTTTAAACCACGTTGAATTGAATCATTCCAATAGTATTACGTGATTTATTTATCTTTTTTTGGGGTGGGAAAGTGATGTTCGAGCTGAGTATTACATATGGAAATTGAAAAACCATGCATGCATGTACGCAGAAGACATATTAATCTCTGGTCCGATCAAATGGCAATAATGTTAAATGTATTTCTTTCGTTGAAGTGTCAGTATGCTTCCATCATAAAAATCGGATAACGCCATCTTATCGGAGTACTTCTCATTAATTAAAGTATATAAAGCAGCTAAGCAGCCGGCCAGCAGTGATGTATCACCCATTTATATATGCATGAAATAATACACCAACCAAATGCTCTGTCGGGCCGAAATGTGGGGGGCCCTTAGGGTTGAGGTTTAGCCTTTTGGAAGAATGAAATAATACACCAACGGGTCGGGATGTAAGACCCTTAGGGTTGAGGTTCAACTTTTTGGAAAAATGAAATTAGTGCATTAATTCAGAAAATAAAAAAATAAAATAAAATTTTGGATCTTAAAAATCTCACACATAACGTTAATAACTATTTGAGCATCAATTTCAACCTCCAATTTATTACATCCCAAACTTTGTAACTAAGAGCCTCCCGAATATTCATATCTATCGCTTCTTTAGGTGGGAGGAAACAATCATTATTGTGTGGACCATATTTTGTCTACTATAAAATGATGTACATTCAATATAAAATAATGTATATTCAATACAAAAATAATATACATTGTATTCAGTGGATGTACATTATTTTTGTTCTAAGTGTATATTATATTGTATAATGTACATTCAGTACAAAAATAATGTACATTTAATATATTAAAAATGTATTTTTTATTATGGTCCACATAACATTGTGTGGGCCATGGTCCACACAATAATTTGCCGGGAGGGAAAGAGCTTCAATCTTGACAACACAAAATTGCCCTTTTATGCGAACGTAAACAATGACTTGAAGTGGGGGTCCAAAATCAATACTATTCACAGCCCAATTTTCTATGGGCCTTATCCCATAAAATTAGCAAATCACGTCAAGTCTTTTATATATGTAATAAATTTTAGGATGTCAATTTTAAATTCAGTGTTGTAAAAATCGCGCGTAGACGCTAGGCAGTCGGCCTCCTAAGCGTCCTAGGTGTTCTAGGCATCCGCCTAGGCGTTCTTAGCGCTCGCCTAGACGCTTTAAGCGCCCTAGGCGGTTCCCAAGCGCCTAGAGGATGCCTAGCGATTTTTTCAACATTAATTTTAATCCATTTTTATAAGTATTTTTAAAATCAAATCCATTGGACGTTTGGATGCAAATTATATTGTAGACCATAGTACACATTGTGACTAATAAATATTTATTTTTAATATACTAAATGTTCAGTTTTTAGAAAGTATTCTAAAAATGAATATATAATATATTAAAAATGAGCATTTAGTGTATTAAAAATAAACTTATAATATATTATAAATAAATTTTCAGTATATTAAAAATAACATGTATACTAATGTCTCATCTTATAATATGAATCATAGTCTACAGTATAATAATTGACATTTGGATAAGAGTGATCATATATATTGTTCTTTAATCCATTAACAATAAAATGGCCGCGCTAATCGCAACGGTCAGCGAAGGTTGAGGAGAAATCTTCAGATATGTCTACTCCTTCCGATCAAGCCCTAAACAGAAGATTGGTTGGGGATGAAAGCAAACTCTTTTTTTCTTTTTTTCTTTTTTTTTTTGGTAATCCAAACCGAAGACATCTACTATACTAATAAGAACCCAAGAGAGTTCCTTGTGCGCAGTGAGCACAAGTCTAGCCTTTGTGGTTCATGTTCAGTTGAGTTACCATGATTTACATCCTCCCAAATGCGGTCGGGGTGTGGGGGGCCCTTAGGGTTGGGGTTCTGCCTTTGGAAGAAGAACCCAAGAGAGTTAGGCCTATAATGCGTAAAAAAAAATGGCGGTTAAATTTTTTAATTAAATGAATGGCTCAGATTGATCAGATTTTAATTTTTCCTTAATATTTCTTAATTTATCCTTAATGAATATGATTATCAGTTAACTTTTCCGTTAAATATTATCTTTTCCATTAATTTCTGTTAGTTCACCGTTAAATTAAATTACTCATTGATTTCAATAAGAAAGGTCTTAGGTTCGAACCCCATCCCAATTAAAGATGACATAATTAGTACTCTATTTTAATTTTATTAAATTACTAGTTTTTTACGCGCATTGCGCGATTGGGATAATGCCTAATGTTTTTTTTTTTTTTTAATAAGTACTTTAAAGTATATTAAGGCAGGATTATATTGAAATTGTTCATGCATAGATAATTGAAGGTTGAATTTGCGTATTTAAATAGGTAATTCTTCTCCCAAAGGTTGAGTCTCCAACCCCAAGGGCCCCCCACACTCCGACCCGACAGAGCATTGTGGGAGGTTGTAAATGCTGATACGCACAAGGAATCTGCCCACTTTGGACATAATTCCCGCACTGCCGCCGCTGATGTTCAAACCTTGGTCTCTTCTCCCAAATACTACCCACTAAACCATTGAGCTAAGCCGATGCGGGTTAAATAGGTAATTCTAAGTTTACAAATGCAAGATAATATAGTCAAGATTGATTATAATTGTCAATAAAATAATTGTATAGGTATGATTGAAACCAAATACGGGACATAAGGGAGAACAAATAAAAATTAGGGCATAAAATATTAAATATATACTAATATTGTTTGAGGAGATTCCGACATTAGGATTTGTGGTTAAGTTCTATTAAGACTTTAATATTAGAATTAGATTAATGGGTGTAGTTATAATTCTATATTAGACTTTAATATTAGAATTAGACTAACGGTGAATTAACGGAAAAATTAAATGGATAATCATATAATTAAAGATAAATTAGAAAATCTTAAAAGAAAAAAATTAAAACCTGAACAATATGAACCATTCATTTGATTTAATAATTTGACGGTCATTTTTTCTACCCAATATTAATAATTAAATAAATTCGCTGGTCAAATCCGCTAGTATAATCCGCAAACGCTAACCGCTAACTGCTGATTGTCAAACAAGGACATTGCGAGGTAGTTCTCACTTCAATTTGTTGTGTGATTTAAATACTCTCTTTGTCACAAAATCTCTCAAGTAGTTAATATGGTTGGCTTTATTAATTATATTTTTTTAATTTTTTCATGGTATTAATAAAATACTTGGTAAATAAATATATAGCATTATTTTGTATTATAACTTTGATATTTAATTAGAAAAATAGTGCACAAAAAAGATAATAGATAATGTAGTGAATATAATCAATTGATGAATTTGAATGTAAAAATTTTTACATTTGAGAAAAATAAAGACAATATAACTAATGAAAATATTTCTTTTAATTAATTTATTGATAATTAATAATTGTTTTTTCACTGAATAAAGACATTGTAAGGATAATGTAGCGAATATAATCAA